ATGGGCTCTTTCGATCAGTGGAGTCCGGGACGCGGGGAAGACGGGAACTAAGGTCTCGACCCCCTTTCCCGTGTGGACGTAGATCGCGATGATGCGAGAAGTCTATCTTTCGCCTAGGAGACTGGGCGATGCATCTCCGGATGTGCCGGATAAGCTAGCGGCGTCCGCCGCGGGGGCCGCGGGCCGGCGACGTCGGGCGCTTGGAGACGCCGGATTATGGCACGTCGTAGACGGCGCAATGTTCCCCGCCCTCGCCGGTTTAGGGCATGGGCAACGGCCACTACCTTTGACCTTCATCTGCAGATGTAGCCAGGCTAGATGGCCGGCATGGGACATTTCTTTCACCGGTAGGTAGGTATTCGATGACTCGGGCTCACGTGGGCATGGCCATCAGCACCCTCCGACTCCGTACAGTCCTCTGGTCCGCATCGAACTATCGCTCGTCCCAAGACAGGCAATGCGGACGAAGCTCTACAGTTTCAGAGGCGGTACTGGACAGTCACCAATTCGACATTGTCTCGCTTTGATACCGGGACCGGTTCTCCCCTTTCAGCCGAGGGAATACCCCTACGATGACCTGATGGGAAGAGCATAAAGTTACACCGGCACGTGGCTCCGAAGAGAAGAACCTCACCTTGTCTCTTTCCGGTTTCTCCCTCCGGAAACCCGCGTGGACTGAAAAAAAATAAAGCAGAGTATGGGTTTTCTTTGTCCGACGTCCAGCCTCAGCTGAATTAGGCTGTTGCGGGGTCCCTGTTTTGCCATGTGTTCAGTTCTCGATAGACATTTGGAAAGGGACCGAAGAAGAAACGAGACTGGGTATGTGTAGCTTGAGGAATACACTCCGTTATAGTGAAAGGAACAGACGAGCCAAGGGCCATGGGAGCGGGTAACTACGTCCCAATCAACTCAGCCAGCAGAAGACATACACAAAGAAAGTCAGTCGCCAGGGCGTATACTATTCCCTACTACAAGGATTACGTTTGGGCCGGGTCGTCGAAAAACCACGCGATAGGGCTAATGTCAACGGGAAGCTACAGATGATCATTGGGACGGCTGATTCGACGGCACGGCAGATTAAAGCGAGATGTGTGGAAGCGAGGGGGTGGATGATTGGACGCATGCAGCAACGGGCAAATGCGGCCGATGCCGTGGCGGGAAAGATAAGGCAAGAAGAGAAGAAGGCGAAGAAGGTAGTTTTGCCTTTGGTTCTTTCTTTCTTTTTCTCCCGCCCGGCGACATCATCACGTGTCTCTATTGGTCGCCGCACCCGATCTTGGCTTGAAAAGGCGGCTTGGAGATTCGAGCTGGTTATTGCTTTGTTCGACCTTTTGTGCTCCGCGAAATCCTCTGCCACGCATAACCTACACACGCCCACACCCCGCACGTTTCCAGTAGATGGAATATTCTGCAGGATTTCCTTGATTGTGCTGTGATCTGCAATGCTGTGGTTACCACCTCGTAAACTCTCCTTACGTCGCTCGGACGAGGACGGCTGGCCCGAGAAAGAAAGGGTTTTGACATGTCAGAGTCCACTGTCGAGGCAACTCAGGACTAGCCCATTGTTGCGGCAAGCAGGGCAATACGCACAGAGAAGAGAGGACGGGCAACGACAGTGATATCCTGGCGAGAGAGACCAAGACCGAACTAAGCATGACGCCGTCAGGACAGCCCAGCGGTGTCAAAGTCCCCTTGCCTCGAACGCGAATGCGAGGCGGCCTACGCTGGCCGTTACCTGTGACTCCTAACCAAAGATTGCACGCGCGCCGCCGGCCGGAGTGCGTAAAAATTGAAAAGGAAGGGCTTTGGCGTCCTTTTTTTTTTTTTTTGGCCCTGCGCTAGTTCCGGCGGACGAACAGCCACGCCGCGTGGTGAGGTGCCAGACGCGACGCCAGAGAGGACATTTGTGTAAGTGGTGAACGGATGTAGGGGGGACTGTGCGACGGGAGAGCGGCCGGTGGACAGATGAGTTGGGTTTGGCGATCTACCCACCTCCAAACCTCCGGGTCCACACCAATACGGGCCTTGTTGCTTCTTCTCTCACTAGTTCTTGGTTATCCTGGTCTTCCCAAGAGTATGAGGGAGGAACATTGAGCAGCTCGCAATGTTGCCCATGGAGGGATCGGCGGGGTCCAGAACGCTCAATGACAATCGCACGCTATCTTTAAGAGTCGTGGGGGTAACGAAAGGCCTTGTCTACGTTTCGTGTTTTTGGATCCAATGCCTCAGGATCTCGGGGCGCAGAGGCCTCCCCTCTTTGGCTTGGTCCTGTCACGGAGCCCAGTCGACCTTGAATGGTTTGGGTCAGTGATGGGGGACGCATTATAGATACTGGTTCGGGGGATTAAAATGGCAGGACACGGCATGGTGAGCACGGGCGGCGGAGGGGAAAGAGACGCTTGGGGTATGAGATGGGTGGGCTTTTGCAGGGAGACCTGACACTGAGGGGGGCTACTGGGCTGGCAGAAGAGCGGGATTCTGTCTCTTGTCGTCGAGGATATGTGGATCGTGGGAATAATGTGACGGGCGTCATTGATGTCGGTCGTGACTCGAATCATGGTGCTTGTTTAATGGCCTTCAATGCTCCCGCTGTCAGACGTCCCTTTTTGAGCCCCTTCCCGTTTCAGTTGGGTTCGTATCTTTCTGCTGCCCCCAATGGAGGGGACCGATTTAATCGGGAAAAGGAGGCGAAGTCAATCATCAACGGTGGTTTCTGGCGTGGTTTATGGGCCGAGTGGTAGCCCAAAGAGAGCCTCAAGCTTTAGGGAGTCCGGAAAGAGAAAGTGAGATCCGCACATCTGAGCTTGTGAGGAGCGATACTGCAACATGGACGAGGATGCTTTGACGGTTCGGGCCCCATACGGAGCAGGAGCAAGATGCTCAAACGAGACAAAAGCGAATATCGCGTAGATGTTATAGCCCAGAAAACTGTCAAGTTTGGGTTTCCGGAGGCAATGGCCGCTTGGAAACGGGTCCTTTTTTGTTTCTCAAAGAGAGGGTCCTTTCGTTTTACAACAGTCCAGTTTGGGCAGACATTGCCGTGTTAGGTTTCCGTCTCTCGTATCGGATGACGTGCTGTCGCCAAGTTGGGACGCACGAACTATATTCTATTACTATTGTGAAAGAAACATGACTTTGACCAACAAGTAAGGGGGGAGAGAGGGAAAGGGAAGGAAAAAAAAAAAGGAAAAAAAAAAAAAAAAAAAAAACTGTTAGTGTAAGCGCAGCCAGTCAGTATTGATTACGGCAACAGAGCTTTTGGAGAAGCTTCTGCTTGGCCCAGGCATCAGCAAATGTGGTTTTTTCTACGGCCAGGCCAAAATTCCAACTGTCAACCGGATACGCCATAGTGAAGTAGAAATTATTACACAGGATAACCCAGGGCCAATTTCGACATTGAAATGATGACAGATGAGAACTTTGACTTGACAGTGACAAAAAGGACAGGCACTAGCGCCAAGTTTGTTAAAAGTGGTAGTGGAGAGCTTCAATTCCCGCAATGTCCACTGAAAAGCCACCACCACTATCCACAACACCAGTAACCAGTCAGCACCGGTGCGGCCAATGCAGCGAGTAAGCCAGCATTCAGCAGCAGAGTTTACGGCACTATGCAGGTTTGCCTGTGTGCATACATAGTACTTACATGGTAGTGTATGGCTTAATGGCTTGCTTTCTGGGCACTCTAAAGAACAGTCGCCTGAGCTGGGGCTACTGGGCTGGCAGAAAGGATGGAAAAGGGCACAGTCCAAGGTGCAGGAGAGGGTCCCAGGGCCTGGACTGGCTTAGCCAGGGGTGTCGGGGGAATCAAGGGATCCACCTCCCAGTAGGGCCCCCTCCTTTGCCTTTTCGCTCATTGCCCCAGCCACCAATCATGGTCCGTAGCGGCCCTTGATCACGTTTCGCCAGCAGCATCCCCCCTGTCGGTTCAATCTCTCGTGCCTGTGTCCCGCAGATTTCGCCTTTACTCCTCATAGTCCTCATAGACAACCAGTCGGCCTAGTGGATACCCTCCTTTCCCCTTTCAGCTCTCGCTCCGCCAGCCTGCACCACCGAACGAACGCCCAGAAACACACACACGCGCACACACACACACACACACACACACACAGTCAGTCCCTTTACGCTCTCCTGTTGTCTGTCTGGTTGGTCTGGTCTGGTCTCTCTCCCCCCCCGTTCGTCTCTCATTCTTTCGCTTGCTTCGCCCCCCTCCGATCCGTCCACCCTTCCATCCAATCCACCAGTTCCCCCCCTCCCCTCCCCAGGCCCAGTCCACGCTTCAGCCCAGGGACGCTTCTCTTGGTCTACTGACTTTCGTTTCTTTCATCACTCCCTTCGCTCCTCCACCAAACATCTCCAGGTTCGGTTCTGGTTCTCCATCAACAACTACCGCCGCCACCGCTGCCGAGTTCCTAATCGATCTTGTCCGACGACAAAAGAGAATCAACTCCCTCCGTCCGTCGTCGTCGACAAGCGGCCGACAATTAACAACCGCCGTTGATGTCTTTCACTTTCGTCGCCTAACCCGCCTTTTACCAACACCAATGTCGAGCTAGTCTCTCAGTCCACTCGTTATCCAACTGTCTACTCTCTCTCTCTCCCTCCCGCTCACTTCCTCTTCAATCATCCGTCGCCCTTTCTCGAAATATTTCGCAGATCAGCCTGTTCATTCCAGTCTGGACCACGCCAATCACGCCAATCACGCCAGCCCTTCCGCGCATCCATTCCTCCAACTGAACCAGGCCGCCTGTCACTGTCTCATCAGGAACCGACGTTTTTTTATTATTTTGTTTTCCGTTCTCCCGGTATATCAATCACCATTCCCTCGACCTACACTCTCTCTAGTACCGACTTTTGGTCCCTTCGACTCGTTCGTGTCTGATCACCCCCGAGAGTGATCGGCACTCATTCACCCTAACGGTCTCGCATCGTAGATCGGCATCGCTGGATCAGCGCTGTCGACCATTATTACTCTCCGCACAATAGCCAGATCGTCATCAACAATGGCTCAGTTCGATCCTAACCTTCACCTCCGGTCGCTCGAGGAGCTGGGAGCTGGTATGCTATTGCCAACATGACGGCCTTGCATGATGAAACCTGCTGACACAATCCTACAGTTATCCTTCCCCGACAGAACGGCTGCCTCAAGTGCGAGGACAAGGCGCCATCATGCCCGACCAACTGCAAAAGCGACGAGTTCTGCTCATTTACTATTCCGACATGTAATTCGTGTGCTCAAGCAATTTGCGTAAAGGACGACAGCAAATCCAGTTCGTCATCAAGCAACGGACCGAACACGGGTGCTATTGTTGGTGGTGTTATTGGTGGTTTGATTGTCATTGCAATCATCACTTACCTTGTATGGAGGTTCTTCATCAAGACGAAACGCCAGTCCATCATCCAGGAATCCTACATCGAGAACCCTCGCGAGAAGTCAGTCATCGAGAAGACGGAGCAGCCACGGGCAACCAACCGCGATTCCACACACACCGTTCACTCGATTGCGTCGACGGTGCTTACCCGCGCCTCAAACATAATCCAGATCGCCTATATTCCCGGTGTTACGAACCGAGCTACGCCCACGTCGCCGACTCTCCTCGTCCCTCCGGTGCCCCCCATCCCCATCCACGCCTCCAACTCCTCCGTCAGCAGCCCTCCTCCCTACGAGGAGCCGCACTTCTTCGTTCCCGGCGAGCTTCGCGACTCTACTTACTCCGGCATCTCCGGCTATTCTGACCGAACCTCCGTTGCGAGAACGTCTTACGCACCCCGGTCCAGCATCGCCCCCAGTATTGCGTCGACTATTTACGGCAAGAACGCCGTTGTCGTGGCACCCGCTCAGACTGGAATGCGCGCCAAGGCTGCTGTAGTCAGCGTCAAGTCCATGGGTGTGGGCGGCAGCGGTACCAGCACTCCTCCTGTGCCGAGCGTCGACTATGAAAAGTACAACGGCCGCCCCAAGAGCCGTGATAGCACCTTCAGCGTCGGATCTACTTTCCTGAACAATGCAAACACCGCGACCGCCGCTCCTGTGCAAAGAGTACAGGTTGTCCGCGTGGGAAGCGGCAATGGCCCCAGGCAAGTTAGCGTCGGATCCAAGACACCGCCGTCGACATCATCAGCAGATGATACTTCTGTGCCCAGCACTCCACCACCAAATTCCCCTGGCGCCGGCCGTGACTCTGCTGCCGTCACTGTCGTCGGCGAGGATAGCCCGTCAAGGGACCAAGGCCCCTTCTCCGACCCCCCAGAGGACAAGGCCGCAGCCATCCGCAGCACCCACAGTCTAAGTGCGGTGATTGAGGAGGCGACACGGCGAGCCGCCGCAGGGCCCGATAGGCGGTCCACAAGGACAAGCTCTCACGAGCGGGGACGCAGTCCCTTCGGTGACGAGCACGCCACCAAGGATTAAACAACTTAAAGAAAAACATAAAAAGCTACATGATGGGCGTCGGCCCTAATCACGATCTACTTATCTCTTATTTTTTACTTGACTATATATCAGGGATGACCTCCCATGTTTCTTTCTCGTATCTACCTTTTGTTAGACGACCCGGTTGGAATACCTACGGGACCAGACCGAGGGACGACTTTGGATGGACAGGACTTTTTATGGATAGGCACTGGCGTCGTGGATGTTTTGAAGCTCTAACTTGGAGGAAGGATATATGGTATGACGGTAGAGGTGTACGTCAACCCATTACGCCCCTTACCTATATGTGTCTATTGAATAAAGCTGTGATACTCCATCCATTACTTTGATCAAATGTTCTTTTCATCTACGTGAGTTCGGTGATGTGCATCCCACGCCACTCTTCGTATATGTGATACGAATACCGGGAGGCTTAGACGTTTGTCGTCAGCGGCATGTCGTATCGACGTTTGTCCCGTAGTTGTGTCACGTGATTGGTTGGTTCGTCCACTCGGATACGCAACTAAGCCCGAGGGCTGACCTGCAACTGGGCGTTGTTGGACGGGGACGCATTCCACGATTGATTCACGCATTTAGAATTGTAATAGAATGTGCTCATTGATGTTTTTTTTCACAAAAAAAAGTGAGGAAGGGGAAATTGAGACATGATTGAAACTTTTGGAATGTCTGCCTAAAACAACGTCAACAGCGACAACAGTTAACCCAAATCCAACCAAACAAAATAAGGCATCTTCAAAACGCAAAAGATTAAGTTCCGAAACTGATAATCACAGTCCGGGCTATGGTTCACTTACTCTAAGATCATGAGAGGGCATTATGTTGACTACTACATCATATCGGAAGTTGATCTTGGCGGGTGGGAAATCGGGCAGGCCAAGACCCATGTCTGCTTGGGCGAGGGGGGCAGTTTACCTGTGACTCGGGCTGAGGAGGGGAGTGTGTGTGTGTCTTAATTTAGACGGTCAGCTCGATTGTCGCAAAGGCGGATTATTTGGGTTCTTTGTATCATTTGTGAACGTGTCGGGGGGCTGGGACTGGAGACATTGAATGTGCTGGTTTACTCATTTGTTCTCCTGCGTAGAATGCAAAAGTATTCATCCGTCCTGATATAAATAGAACAGGTATTGTGCTTGGTGAATTCGAGACCGAATCAGCATATTGCAGATTGTGGGATGCGAACCAAATGGGCAGCGACAGATTCGGACGCCAGTGTCTTTGCTCAGACGTCATCAACGACGAACCTACTGTCCTTGCCACCGGCCACAAACGCGTCATATATCAAATTGGGCCGTAAAATGGCACGTGAAAGCGCTTCATACACGCCAATATCTTGTGTGCTATACCACCAGAACGTCATTGTTGTTATCGGTGTCTCGGAAGGAGCGTGAGTGGACGTCATTCCTGCGGGACTCAACATTGAGAAAAGGGCTACCATTCTGGGCAGTTGACGGACGTTTGGGTGATGAGATAGTGGACCTTGTGTCTCAAAGTGCCGCCGTTAAACATGTGCGTTTGGGGAGCATGTGCGTGAGACTGGTCTTCGTTTACGTCTCAGCTTGGGGTTGGAGTCAAGTGCGTCACAGGACAATGGCTTCCCCTGGTTTTCTGGAAGACGGGGTTGGATAGATGAAAACTGACAGTGTCTTTTTATAGCATTTATCATGTGATGATAGTCATGTATCTGGAAGGTGGGTTTGTTCTTTTTGGACGCTTGTGGCTTGCCATGTCACCCATGAAGCGACCAGCCTTGGAGGACAATTCCCAAATATGCTATCTGGGGTGTCGGTAGACGATAACTGCCCATTTTCAACCGGTTTCCTTGTTTTTCATGGGTCAACTGGCGCAGTTTAGTTGCTGCTAAGTGATTTGGACTCAACGACATTTGATGGAAAAAAACCGAGAACGGTAATGGGGAGTGTTATCATTCTCCGGTGTTCACCTACCATCATAGGTACTGATTTGCGCTGAACATACTCACATTCGCTTTTCATCGGAAGTGTGCACGAGATATTGTGTCTTGTCGCTCCTCAGCCTGAATTTTCAGAGAGTGATTGCTTAGGATTTCAGAAACTGTTGCAGGCTGAATTCGCCGGTCTCTCTAACGATGAACAGTCGTTCATATCCGTCTTAGTCCAAGGTAGCCTATTATCAACTATACCTCATAGGATATAATGAATGTAGGAAGTGCTAGAGAGTAAATGCTAACACTTGGCCTTTCTCTGGTGCAAGCAGCGCAAAAGACATTGACGTTGGGATTTAGCACCCCCTTCACGCAAAATCATCTACGAATGCAATGTTATATTATTACAAAAACCTCCAACATTAGGTCTTCGCCATAGAAGACATGTCCTGAAGGACTCGGTGATATTCCGAGATGGTAGGAACAGTAAAGCGGTGAAGCAGACACCTGCCGTATCAACTCCCTTGTGGTTTAACAAAGACACATGAGCAAAGAGGTCTTTTGAACGAAACATGGCGTTGTCCAAGATCCCCAGAACTGTGTTGACGATATTTTTGCATAATATTCTTCGCCTATAATGGAGCAAGACCTGTAATATAGGTGGTTCGGAGTCTAATATGTTTTTCTCCAACGTTTGTTTTCGCGGGTATCTTGCTCGCTACCTCAACGCATGATTCCTAATTCTAGAAGCCATGGCTGCCAGGAAACTTCCTTTGCATTACAGTGACCTTGGCGCTTACATCTTATGATACTAAAAAGACCAGAAAACAGCCATATTTGAGCCATGCTAGGATACTGACGATACAGCGGCGGGGCTGGTCGACTACGTTGTCCCCCAATCTCGCGTCAACAGGTCTGCGTAAGGCCGGCTTCATCACAGACTGAACTCTAAGATTGATATCCTGTTGTTTTAAACGTGGCTGACTAAACATGTATACTCTGTCCAGCGAACGTTGTGATAGAAAGATGTGTCCTTACCTCTGTTGGGATTAAAATCTACAGCGCTTCGTGAAAAGACCAAGAAGTGCCCAAGCCGACAACGAAATGAATGGAGAGACGGGCAACAGTTAGCAGTTCTGTTCGACATCAACCTATGAGAACGGGGCTAGGTTTTTTACAGTTGCCAGAAGAGCATACAGTTGCTCTGGGAACTAAAGGGGAGCATTGCCATTGCAGTAAGCTCAAAGCGGCTGCTCCCAAGTACGCCAGAAGACAAGATACAGTTCTTGCTAACCGCGATTCCAACTTTAGGTGGCCTTTTTCGCTCACACTGTCCCAGAGTAGGTTTAGTAAGTAGTATGAGTGGGCAGCACTGGTATCGAAACTCGAAATGGTTTTGCTTTCCACGCGACAATTTGATTTCACGTTTGGGTTGCGACCCGTGGAGATTCAAACAGGGGCTCTTGAAGGCTTCAGAGATACCAGGGTTTCAAGAAAGTTTTCTATTCGTCGAAGGTTGAACCAGGTGAATTTTCGGTTATTAACAGCCTCAAAAAGCAAGTCACTTGGGAAGTGAATTTGAGACATGAAGACTCGCTGGGACAATGGGAACCAGTACCGTTTCTGAATGGGCTTTCTTTTGCGAGAGAAGCAAGACAGAAGCCTCGGAATGCTTGCCGGAAGTAAGAAGAGACAGTAATGACTTGCATGCTGCCATGTTTAAGACCTGAACCCCCGATGCAGCAGTCTTCCAACATCTGTTTGAGTCATTCCATAGTTACTCTTAGACTACTTTGCTGAATTTAACATTTGAATCATGCAATCGATTGATGATACTTTGAGCTGAGGGAACCTCTGCGTAAGAACAAGTTGTTCATGCCAGTAGGTCAAGTCTACGCGAACGACAGCTCATGTCCACAGCACAACGAAAACTAAAGGCTGCCTTGGGATGATTTTCTTCTGAAGGAAGGTTTCATGGAGCTTTGGAGGTCTTGTGTGTGGCTTTCGGAGGTTTCCCGACTGCTCAAGTCAGTTTGTCTGTTTCGAAACTATTCAGACGCGAGAAGCTGGCCGCAGCTTCCGGGGCATCTTTTCAGTCTCGTAAATTCACGCGGCATAATTAAGTTCTACCGTGAAAACAAAAGATATTTGAGTCAGTCTGTTGATTTTGATTACAGTGCGGCTTTTTCCATTTGGTTTGTCCGTGGCGTGACTTCCAAGTGCTACCCGAGTATCTCGTATCTGGCTCATGTTGCCAGTCATCAAGACATGCCATTCTATGACTCAGGCTTTTTAGTTTTCCGATGAGAAAGAAACCCATGCGAAGCGGCTGTAGCCACTTCCGAGCCTGCTTTAATGATCACTGATCAGCGCCTCTGATTTTGGGGGATGAAACTGTGATGCATGATGACTGGTTTCGCGACAACACATGACATGTGCTGTGCCTTACTGAATACTATGAGGCGACAGCCTGTCTGACACGTTCACTACAGTTTTGTCATTATTACTTAGTCTTGGAAGCAGGAAAGAAAGGGAAAAAAATATGACTAGTAACTGTCAATGATGATGTCTCGTATGATTAAGAAGTGAAAGCCACTTTGACCATTCCGATGATATGCACAGGAACATATCAAAGGCAAGTTAGATCTTCAACTTCCCATCAGATATCAGACAGGAGAATGAGCAGACTTCATTCAGATGCAAGAGTAGGCAGACCTTACTTCCATCATGAACACTCTGATACGATTGTCACCGGTAGTCGTCCTGTTTCCCAAAGGGATCACTTCCCGGCGGCCAGAAGTTTCATACGTCTCAGTAAACTCATTAACTAGTCCTGGGCATGTCAGATAACAAAGCCCTAGCGAAGCTTAGTGAGGGCTTAACATGCCAGTCCTTGAATTCATGAATCTGGCATTGTACATGGAAACCTCCAGTGGCAGTCACTCCAATAGATTACCGCTTGTTAAATCTCACTCGGTAGAATGTGTGGAAACGAAAACAACGTGAAGCTCGAGTATCAAGAACAAAAGACGTGCATAATCCCAAACCGACGTCTCCTGCAGAGGGTAACATCGTGCCACTAGCCCCGACCCCCCCTTATTGAAGCTCGTATTGGGAGTTCTGCGGACAACGTTGGCTACTGCTTATTGCTGGCTGTTTTCAAAATCGATATACTTACGTCACATCATCTACCATGAACTAGAAGGCTGGTACTGAACCACCATCCGACAGTTTTCAAACCTTTCTGTCGGCACAAGCTCCTGTTGGCCTTGGCACTACGAAACACCTTTAACGGCCAAGACACACTCATTGGCGGTGATGAGGTGGAATTGCGACTGAGTGCCCAACAGCATGCAGCCACCATCAGCGGAGATGTTGCCATGACACCTTCTCAACAAGGCAACCACCCTTCAGCATTTTACTACTCGTCGAGCCTGCTCCGCCGCTTAACCGCAAACAACTTTAAGGGCTTCCCGACTCTGTCAGCCGAATCTTGGTAATCCTCCACTTCCCACGTCTTCCTTCAGCACCTCAAAGCTGGAGGCATTGACGTGCGAAACACACTAACAGAAACCCCCGGCCCCCCACGCGGGAAGATCGCCTTTTGCGCGACCACCCTCCCGGTGAAGACGCTCGGAAATTTACTACGAATGTAACACGCCGATTACTGAACGGCTGCTCCTGAGCCAGTAGAAAACTGCTATGCAGGCATCCCAGGACTGCTCGGTTTTGAGTTCACACTAGCGGCCAAAAGCACCCCGAGCAGTCAGGGAGAAGGATTACAAGAGAGACATGGACAAGGCAAACTCTCTCCAACCTCAACCTCCCCCAATCTTCCATGACTACTAGTAAATTAAGACCATCCCGAGAATTATTCGTAGCCCCCCCTGGAATCGAGATGTGACGAACCTCATCTGCTGGCCTTGGACGGCAGTTCTGTCCTCGGCAACTGTACCTGGGCCAAGGAAATGGCCAGGGGACCAGCGGCCCTCCTGAAAGCTGGGGAACGATGAGAATGTTGGGGGGGAAGAGCAGGTCGATTCCCACATGCTTCTCGACTTGGCAGCGCCGGGGAAGAAGACGTTGAGCCGTGCCATGTACGGGCACACCGTGAAGGAGGTCCCGTACGAAAGCACCCAACGGTCTTCGCCGGAGTGCGATCCGAACGGTAACCCCATGAGAGCAACCAACCTCCCAATCCTCGTCTGCGATCTGCTCGAGCCAAGCTTCGCGCCGGGGAGGACGACGAGCGAGGTACCCGGGAGTTCCCAGTTTCTCTCCCCCCAGCTTCTCTCCCCTTTGAACGACCGTAGGTGTCTGCCGTTCCGCGGACACTGGGCGGGTGAGGGCTTCCCACAAAAAGCCGCACCTGCTCCAACAAGGGTTCTGACTCGTTGGCAAATCCCTACGACTTCTTTTCTATTGCAAGAACCATCACCCTAGACGGGTCCCCAGTCTTGCGAAAGCACCCGTGGGTGAGGATGGAGTGCCGCTGGAACGAGTAGGCGAAGCACCTTCCATATCGGGCTTTGTGAAAGAGGGGGGACGATTCTCTCAGTTACCCAATGATCTGGGAACCCCGAAGGACCCCAAATCTGAGAAGAGTCCATCGAGTTGTTTTTTTTCCTTTGGGATTTTTTTTTTTCCCTCGTTCGCTCCTTCGCACCGGAAAACGCCGCATTATTGCATATGGCCATTTTGGCTGGGACCTTGGTTCCTTGGTCCCTAGGTAGGTAGGGGTCCAACAGGATAGGCAACGCCAGTACTGGATTCAGAAACAAACAGGCTGCATCGGACCGCAGAGTGACTGGGGGGCAGGATGGGCAATACCATTTGGTCTAGATGCCGATCATCAGTTCTTCTCACCTGACAAATCGTCAGTGCGGAATCACTCACCGGCAAGCGGAAAGAGAAACTTTGGTCTAATTGTTGATCCGCAGTCCACTTTTCCCACTCGCTAGCCGGGTCAGTTATTCATAATGATACCTAACCTTCAAAGGGTTTCCCTGTCTAGGTCAATTAATATCCATCAGCAGAGCTTGACATCTGCAGACGGGGAGGGGTTTGAAAGAAGAAAAAAGAGACGAAGAGCATTGACTGGCCCATCCGAGAAACATAACGTGGGCGTCTGTCTCTTGGGTTTGCTTCCGATTATGTGAGCCCTGGCTATGGTTTGTCATGTCAACACCAAGCCTAAGGCTGCAGTTACCAAAAGGAGGGGGAAAACGAAAAAAAAGAAAAGAAAAGAACTCGTTAGCATGAAGCCCCCCAAACGGCGGCGGATTTTGATATTGCCCAGGAACTGTAAGTGGCGATGATACCCTGCGGAGGAAAGGAAAACCCAAGGGAACGGAGATCGGCCAGGACCAAGAAGAGAATACGGTAAAGAATGAGCTGTCGTTGGTTCCGAGATTGAAAGACCAACGCTTGGCAACAAGCCAATTTGAGGCCCCTCCCTCGCCAAACGGAAACCTGGTTACCAAGAGGATTTAGCGAGGTAAGGGTACACCGACCTCTCACCTGGTTCTCACCTCAATTACCCCGAACCTGGATGCTCGGTGGGAACCTGACCGAGCAAGGGGAGGGGCAGAACCGCATATCCGCCCAGATCCCCTACCCAAAGCATTCCAACATGCAGCCAGCACATGCATCATGTCTTCCTTTGTCTGCCGCCGCTCGCTCGTTTTACCCAACCGAGAACTGCTCTCTCTCTCACCTCACTACACCTGGAGAAACAAGGGGGGGTGTCGATTTCTTGGTCTTTGAACGAGGCAGCTAGGCTCTGCAGTAGCTTTCTTTGACAACTGAACTGGTGCGGGTGTTCAATAGTCAGGAAAAAAGGTGGGAAAGGATCATCAGGACCCAAAACATGTCAAAAATGGACCACTACACTACGACCGGCTGCTTCTCCGGATGCATACGCACGGGCAGCATACCGGCTCCAGCTCCCGCGTCCCGTGGGCTCGGACTCCCTGCCGCGTCGAGCTGCCGTTCTGCCATCTTTTCTGCTTCTCTTTGTCCCTTCTGGCCTCAAAGCCGGGGGTGGTGGGCTCGGTGACTCTCCGTTTCTTCCAACCACTCTTGTCTGCCAGGCTCTTCTTGGTTGAAACTCAATGAACGAAGCATGACTTTTCTCGTTGCTCCGCCCTTTATTGAGCCTGGTAGAGATGCCTGTGCGGCAGCATGTGCGCCCGCGCCCGTGGATCTCAGTCCGTGTGTTGACCTGTCAAAACCCTCGTCCCGACGGGAGACGCCACCAGTCTCTCCATCCATGGGGCTACACCAAGGAATTTAAGCAGGGCCTTGAATCGTGTTGGCGTATGGTGATGAACTGCATGTGCGAAGGACACGCCATCTACTGGCTGGGCCACTCATCACCGTTCACCGTAGTAGCAAGGGCACTTTTTCCCACCCCTCCCTTCATGTCAACAATTCTCCAGCAGAGCTGAGAGTGCCATCTCTGCATGGAGCACTCAAGGTGCACCCCTCTTAACACTTAAGCAGTGCCGGCATTAGAGGGGGGACCCTTGATACTGGTGGTGCTTGCGTTTATGGGTCAGTCAACGCTGGAGGTACACCACACTTATGGATAGTGTCCCCCCATTCCCCTCCTCTCTAAACAGAAACTAGGGGAGGTCCGTGTTCAGTGAGGGGTTTTTGGGGCATTGCCTGCCAGGTACGGCTGATTACAACCTGGCTCAAGCGCGGCGAAGCAGCTTCCAAGTCGTCCGGTTTGAGAAGGGTAACGGGATGTATTACAGTAGAAAGAGATGGTGTGGGCGAGGGTACAAGAAATAATGTTAACAAACTTGGTTCACGGGAAAGGGGGCAGGGTTGCAATGCATGAGTGCAATTGTGGGTGGCAGGCCTCGCCGGCCCGTCACGTGGGCTGACGGCCGCCACCACTGGTCTTAGCCAGCCTCCACAGCCCTCTAGCCAGTTAGTTAGTTCTTCCAACCAACAACACCACTTTTCCCATTCTGAGCGTTCTGTGCTGGTTTCGCCCACAGGTTATGAGCCCAGCGTTATTCTTTCGGAATAACGTCGTTTTACCCATTATTCTACTCGTCTGTCAATTTTCTATTGATTCACGAATTTTTGCGATTTTATTCGCTTTATTTACCCTTCTGTGCGATTTTCTCGCCTTATTTTCCCTTCGCTGACGAATTTCACTTTCTGACGCGATATTGGCTGCCTGGCGCGCACGAATATCACGTGGCACGCGACCGACCACCACAACCCACTGGTTTTCACGAACACCACGGAATTCCACCACAACAACAGACTTTTCAGTCACAACCACACTACAACCATACTTTTACTTCGATTTCCTCGTTCTCACGAGAATTCAACCATTTCAGCTTCGGTTTTTCGAACCAGCCCATCAGTTTCTCGTATCTTCTACGAGTATTCATTCTTCCCTTCGATTCACCGTATTTCTACGGTCGGATCTCACAATTCCACCCATTTCTCGTGTTCTTACGCAAGATTCTCCCTCCTACACAATCCAACAGCACGCGTAGGTGGCAGCGAAAGTAAGCCATCTAACGTACAGACACGCCTCCAAAGCTGCGGCCTCGGAGAAACGCCTGTGATCGAGGTGCGACTATAAGTCTGTCCCGCACTGTTGTGATACCCTCACTTTCACTTCAAGATGTCTCAAAACGACTTCAAGACCGTCTTCACGCCTCTTCCTCGCCTGAAAGGTGAATCCAACTGGAACACATGGCGCATGCTTGTTACAGCGACCCTGCGAGGATACGACTTCGAGATATTCCTCGAGACTGACGTCCCTCGCCCTGCTGACCCTATCGCTGCAGAGGAATGGAGAAAGAACCGTAACGTCACGAATGGTCTCCTCATGAACGCCAGCGAATCGGTTCTTGACAGACTCTGCACAGCGGGTTGGGTTGACGATGGAAACCCTTACGAATTGTGGCAGGCGCTCGAGAAGCACATTCCGAGAATCTCACAAGACGCCACAGCTGCCCTTGTTGACGAGTTTGCCAAGACCACCGCCAACGATCACAAGACTCTTCACGATGCCCTCAATCGCTGTCACCACCTCAGAAAGCGTATTGAGACCATTCACGGTCGTCTGCCAGACTCCTTCCTCGCTGTTTTCCTCCTTAACTTCTTTAAGGACCGACTTCCCGATACGTACAAGCATTTCACATCGAAGGGCGCCACCCATCCCACGTGGAATGAGGTGGCTGATACGATTTACACGCTTGCCCAAGACGAGGATCAAAAGCGCAGTTATGCCACTATTCGCAACACACCTGGAGGCAAGTCTGCTGGCAGTGGGGGTCCTGCCTCTCCAGCCGTCACCACCACCGTCACCTCCACTGTCACTGCCTCCAAGGAAAAGAAGAAGTGCGACCACTGCAACTGTGATCACGAGACCACAAAGTGCTATGTCGCCCACCCCAATCTCATCCCTCTACACTACGTCAACCGGGATAAGTTGATTGAAAAAGCGAGAAAGCACGTGTGTGGCGATCGCTGCCGCTGGGATCAGCCTACTTCTGTTGATGGCACCCGCCAGACTGTTGTCAGAGCGTCACCTGCCATCTTGGGTCAGTCTGCCCTTGCCTCCATCGCCAGCCCAGCAGTTTTCACTGCTGCCCGCGATGACCTCATCACCCGAGACGATATCGTTCTCGATTCTGGTTGTACTACTTCAACCTTCAACAACTTGCGATATTTCGTCAAGTACGCTGAAAAGAGCGATTTGACACCTTCCACTTCTGCCTCCGGCGCCCCAGTCCGGTCACTTGGCGTGGGCACCGTCTTCTTCCAGACCCAAGACCCCACCAACCCTGACATTATTCACGATTGGACACTTCACAACGTTGAGTACAACCCTTCCAGCCCAGCCAACTTACTGAGCCCTGGAAAACTTCGTCGTGATCACGTGGAATATGATTGGCAGACCTCAAGCCTCATACACGTGACACAGCGCACTTCCCTTGCCAAAGTTCATTGGGTTTCTGACGTCTGCGTCGTTGAGACTCATGATACTGGAAATCACGTGCCTCGAGATATTGCTGTCAGCCTCGCCGCCTTCCGGGCTACCCAGCGACCGTCTCTTGAACTGATGCACCGCCGGCTGGTTCACGCCCACCCATCACGTGTTGTGGAGGCTTGCCGCCGTGTTGGCATTCGGTTCACAACGTCAGAAATTGACGCTTTCTTCTGTGAGTCTTGCCATCTCAGCAAATCCACTGAACGGATTAGTCGAGACCACCCACTTCCACTTACGAGTATTGGCGATGAAATTCACCTTGATCTCGTTGGTGTTCTTCCCCTATCAACAAAAGGGAACCGTCAGGTTCTACACCTCATGGATAAGTATAGTGGTTACCACTGGGTTGTTTTTCTGCCCAACCACAAGTTTGCCACCATCCTGGCAGCTATCAAGAAATGGGATACTGAATTCTACAGTCTCACCGGCCTCAAGCCCAAGGTTTGGGTTTCTGACAATGCTCCCGAGCTAATCAAGGTTTTCAACGACCCCTACTTCGAGGGTACTCGCCACAACACGACTATTGCCTACACGCCTTCCATGAACGGTACTATTGAGCGTGCTGGTCGTACCATCGTCGAAGGCGCCCGGACACAGCTGATTGACATGTCCCTTCCAGAGGAACTGTGGGATTACAGCATCGATTCGGTGACTCAGATTCTCAACCTCTTGCCCACACCCTCCAAGGGTAACTTGAGCCCTCACGAGATCATGGCGAGAGAGCTGAACTTGGCTGCTGAACGTGAGGCCCCCCACATTGAACATCTCCGAACGTTTGGCTGTGCTGCCTACGTACACAAGAAGGGCCCTCGACGCCCTATGCGCTCTGCCAAGATGGAACCACGAGCAATCAAGGGATTCCTCGTCGGTTACGGTTCTCTTCGTGGCCACATTTACTACGTTTACCTGCCTGATCGAAAGGAGGTTATTCGCTGCAGAGATGTTCGATTTCGTGAGGAACCGCACAAGACAGTGTTGCCTCCAACTACTGGCACACCCAACATTGATGAAATTGAACATGATGCTGCGTTTGTCGAACCAGATATCATCATCCAGTACACCATCCGTCAGAAGCCTATTGAAGGTGAAAAACCCGTGACTGGTGATCCCAAACCAGATGAGACCATCGTTGAAAAAGCGATGGCACCCACTGATACACATCTCATGTCTCCGCCACCAGAGAACCTGTTGGAGACCACTGCTACACCTCGTGACAGCATTACTAACGAATTGAATGATGACGAATTCGTCGCTTCCGTGGAAACAATGGAAACTGATCACCAGGACCCTGATTCCCTCTCCACGATTGTTGAGGAAGCAACGAGTCAACCGGCAGAGTCCTCTCGACCTCGCCGCGCCTCAGCCCAGCGACCACCTGGTCACTACCGAGCCGCCAGTGGCGTACGCTCCTATGCTAAAAAGACTTTTCTATCTGCTGACATTCCAGCTTCACTAACTTCTCGTCAATTCTCTCTCAGCGTGCTTTCTGCTACTGCCCTTTCGAAAGTCCTACCCGACGGCGTGGTGATCCCGAAGTCCTACCGTGAGGCGCAGAAGAGCCCACAGTGGCCCCAGTGGGAACAAGCCTTCGAACGAGAGATGACTCAATTCACGGAAAAGGGGGTTTACGAAGTCGTTTACCCACCACGTGACGCTAAAGTCCTGCCCGGCAAGTGGGTATGTGACATCAAAACCAACAAAAACAACGAAATCGTGCGCTACAAGGCCCGATATGTGGTTTGTGGAAACCACGAGAAAGGTGACTGGTCATCGCAAGAGGTTTACGCTGCAGTTGCCTCTGCCACCGCAACCCGCCTTTTCTTCGCAGTTGTCGCACTTCTCGATCTTGAATACGAAGTATATGATTTCGACACTGCTTTCCTAGCCGCCTCGATTCCAGAGGGGGTTAAGGTGTACGTCCGGCCCCCCGCTGGCTACGCCACTGCAGACAACAAGGTTTGGCTGCTCCACAAGGCACTCTATGGATTGAGAAAATCACCACTTTGGTGGTTTCGACTTATCAAGGGTGAAATGGAACGAATTGGCTTCACTGCTGTTGATGGGGAGGTTTGTCTCTTCGTCAATCACAAGATTAAAGCGTACGTTCTTATGTACGTCGACGACAACGCCATCGCCGCTCCCAACAAGCAAGTCATGATGGAAGTTCGTCGTCTCCTCGAGAAGGTCTGTTCTCTTAAAGACCTCGGCGAGGCTACCGATTTTCTCGGTTTCCAGATTGAACGCGACAGAGCTGCCGGTAAGATTTTCGTTTCCCAAGCCAAGTACGCAAAAGCAGTGCTTCAACGATTCGACTTTGATGGTTTGAGTGCTGTCAAGACGCCTATGGCGACCACTGACGATCTGCCCGTCACCTGGGACAAGAACGAGTGCTCGCTTGACGAACAACAACTTTACATCGAA